CCGCCTTGTTGGCGTCTTTAACGCTGATGGCGACTCTGTGCTTACCCAGCCTTTGCACCATATATCTGGCCCATCAAGTGTTGTTCGAGTTTCATCTGTGAACAAAACTTTAGAGAAGTCAATCTTCATATTGTCCTCAACCCATTTCAATCGGTTTCAATGTGATTTCTCGTCAACGGAGGCTTCGATACTGGTTTGATTGTTGTTGCTATTTCCCTCAGATACCGACACCGAGTACATTTAGACACAGTAGGATCCCAATGCGACTGAAAAGCTTTTGAATGGTAAGTCCAGGGTTCTTCGTGACCTCTCGTTTAAGTTGTGACATGAGACGACGTGAAATCACCCTCGGCTTGCCTTTATCTGCCATTTTGCGTACTTGTGTAGGGTCGGTGGTGAACTTTTTCACTGTTTGATAACACCTCCCTATCATTTTAGAAATATCTAGGGATTTACCTTATGAGAGTTCTGAGTTGATAGTTTCTTTTCAGCATCACTTAAACTGCTTTTACGGCTCATCTTTTCACTAAATTCTTACACTTTTCTAATAATTTGGCACGGTCAAATCACCGTGCTGATAACAAATATGACGCCAGTTTGTTTACCTTGCGCAGATTAGTACGAAAATTTCAGTGATTGCGCAGGTCAGTGTTGCCAACATTGTGTGAAAATTTTGTGATAGATTGATTGGATAGTTTTTGAAATATTAGAAAAATAGTTATCTGATAATAATTTGGAATAGATGATAGTATATATTTTTAGAAAGAATATATATATAGAGATATATATATCAATATCATTTAGCAAAAGTCAATAATATATATATATATATACATAGCTTTTATGATATGAAGCGGTCAATTTGAACTTTGTTCTCTAGTAGTCCTGAAGTGTTATGACTAATCTTCCACAGTCCTGAGGAAATTTATAAAAATGCTTCTTTTTTGATTAATTTAGCTCACATTTTAAAAAAAAAGCAAAACATTTCCTCCGCTCAGAAAACAGTGACTTCACCAGCGCCTGTCTGTGTAAGTAAGAAATCCAAGATAGGTTTCTACACTACCCTGAGACAGTAGCTAGCTCCCAGAAGGTCACATTGCTGACCTCATCGAGTTTGTTGTCTCGTGTTATTTGAGAGTATCAAGTTAATCCAGGGGCCACTTTAAAAGGTTGTGCTACTGCTTGGAATGGACGGCAAGGTTTTAAGGGAAATGATAAAACATTAGAGAAATTTAACACACACAAAAACACACACACACACACACATACACACACACACATATATATATATATATATATATATATATAAATATATATATATATATATATAAATTTTAAAAAAAAAACATGTCCAAATCGTGTAAATCTTCTAAAAAATTGTCCATTTGTTAGATTAATTTTAAACTGTTGCATCTTAGAAATGATTAAATATATCTTTTTTTGAATTTCCGAGGTTTTCATATAAAATTATTTTTTTTACTTTAACCAATAAGTATGTATAATTACTGTCCTCTTTAACAGAGGAATCGATAAAGGAAAATGACATTTTCAATCATTAATCAATCATGACTAAGGATCGGAAGCTCATGAACAACTGAAATTTAAAATATATATATATATATATATATATATATATATATATATATCATTCCAGGATAATTTCCCAAATAATTCAAGATGATCATCGCCCTCTCTAACCTTCTAATTTTCTGCCCTGGAGTAATAAGGTGCCTCACACGTTTTTACGTACGATTTCATTTTCAATTATTTTTTGGCTGTTCTTTGGACTGTCATAGCTGAAACTCCTCTCTCACGTGTCAAATGTCATATATATTGAGTTGGATCTTTTCTCATGGACCACTTTCGCTCTAACGATATCCTCCACTATTTGTGACATCCTGATCCAGTTTTCTTCTCTACTGTTCCCACTTTTTTAAGCCTATTCACCCTTGTCTTTATGGTTCTTAAATAGGACTTTGAAAATGTAAGCCAAATATGAATTTAAAAAAAATTACCATCTTCCCTAAATATTTTTTTTCCTCTCACCATTACTCATATCGAAGGACAGCAGGACTGAAACAAAACGACTTTAACCTGTTCTCTTTTTAGTTGAATAACTCAATATACATATATAAATTCCCAAGAGGATAGAATCCAGGTAGAATTCAATACCCAGGACAGAGCAAGAATATGATATAAAAGGCTCAGACACTAATATTCCGTGGTTATAATTTATTACATTGGAATCGTAATCATGATCCAATTCATCAGACCTACAACGAAATCAGAAAATATTTTTTTCAGATTTCTTTTATATATATATATATATATATATATATATATATATATATATATATATATATATATAAAAATTCCCTGAGGATATTCAGGAAGAACTCAATGTCCAGAACAGAGTAAGAATATAATATAAAAAGGCTCAAACTAAATTTCCATGGTTATAATTTATTACATTAGAATAGTAAATGAAAATATTTTCCCATTTCTTTTAATATTTATATATATATATATATATATATATATATATATATATATATATATATATATTTATAAATTAAAAATGAATATGAACGTTGGAAAATTTACTGGTATTACAAAACAACTAATTCAGAAATTTGATATATTAAATAAAATAATGGATAGAGCGAACTTCTTATATAGCCAAACATGTTTCATAGAATTATTATAGAATGAAATGACAGGCACGAGGATAAAGAACTTGGTTTTTCACAAATTACCATCGATCGACACTCCCATAAGATTGCGCTTCTAAACGACTCTCTTACGAAGTTCCTCATGAACTGACTAATAACCAGCCTCAACGACGTGTGGACATTTGCAAACAATTGCTGGCAAATCCTCAAGATGCCCGTTCTTGACGTCGAAGTGTAACTAGGGATAGAAAAATTGTCCTCATCCTAAGAGAAATCAGTGGCTTCGTTCATATATAGGTTTTCAGAAGGATGTTTTTGAACAAGGGCGGTTTGAACAAAAGGTCATGTTGTTTGGTGGGATTTTGTTTATCTTCTTTCATACTTTGAGCTTGTCCACGAACAATTTGGGAATACTGACATTTTTGAAAAAAATAAGTAAAGGATGCTCCTACAGTATGACAATGCCTCAACCAACACAAGGAACTTGAGGGGCAGAAAGTGCTGCGTGAAACTGACTACAACCCAGACCTTGCACCATCATTTTTGGCACATGGTTTATTTCCTGGGTAGGAACAATATGGTTCAACAATATGGATGAGGTTGAAAATATTTGAATTTTGTGCATCTAAACCTGTCAAACGGTATAAGTGTGGAATTGAGCTTCTGATAAAATGATAGCAATCGGTAATAAAATAGAATAGGATAGTGTTTGATGAATAAACGTTTTTTTATTTATTTAATTTGTTAGGACTGTTAAGATTTGACACAACCTACGCTATCTACATCATTTTTTTTCAGTCTGTTTAGGAATGTAAATGTTCATATCTGTTAAAAATATATTAATTATCCTAGTCTAATCAAATTTCTTATTTTTTTATTTTTTCTTTCTTTCTCAAATTTTCTTTCTATTATTTGGATAACCCGGATCAAAGTTGAGAAATCGGGACCGGAGAAAGAATTCTCTTATATCCGGGTTTTCTATATCCAGGTTTGGTCTATTTTGTTTAGGTAAGATATGGGCTCTAATTTGGGACTAAAGAAAATCTCTCTTATATCCGGGTCTCTCTTATATCCGAGTCTCTTATATCCGGGTTACACTGTATCTATCTATCTATCTATCTATCTATCTATCTATCTATCTATCTATCTATCTTTTCACTCCCCTTTAGCGAATTTCTTTTTTTCATGATTCTTTTCTCTAATTATGAATATTCGACGTTTCCCTTGATTTTTTCTTTTTCTTCTTTCTGTTCTGGTTTTAATTTCTCCGTGTTTATTTTTTCTACTTATTTTCAATCTTTTCTTTCTTTTTTTTTCCTCTTTAGCATTTTTTTTTTCATAAAATTTCCTTTCTTTTTCTTTTTTCTGTACTTTTTTCTTTTTCAATTTCTTTCTAACCGGTTTTCTTTTTCACTCTTTTTCATTTTTTTTTTTCATTTCCTCCTGTATAAATATTCTTATTTTCTCGGTTTACTTTTTCGTTTTTTTTTTTTGTTTTTTTTTTAATCTCTTTTCTCCTTTTAATTTTTTCACTTTCACCTGTTCTCGATTTCTCCTTTACTTATTTTTTCTTTCTTTCTTTCTTTCTTTCTTTCTTTCTTTCTTTTTTTCTTCTACTTCTTATTCTTCTTCTGCTTTTCTTCCTCCTCCTCCTTCCCCTCTTCATTCTTCTTCTCTTCTTTTTTTCTTCGACTTCCTCTTTTCGTTCTACTTGGTTTCTACCTTTTTCTTCCCTTCCTTTGTCTTCTCCTCCTCCTCCTTCTTTTATTCTTTTCTTTATTCTTGATCTTCTTCCTCCGCCTCTTCCTCATTTTTCTTCTTCTTCCTCCTCTTCGTCTCCTCTTCTCCTCCTCCTCTTCTTCTTTTTCCTTTTACTTTTTCTTCTTCCTCGCTTCTGCCTTCTTTTACTTTTTCTTTTCTTCCTTTTTTTCTTCTACTACACGTCTTTTTATTATACTCCTACTCCTCTCCCACCTTCCTTCTTGTTCTTTCTATTCTTCTTCTTTGCTTAAACATCAGCCTTTCTCCTCTTCTTTTTTCCTTTGTCTTATTCTTCCTCCTCTTCACCTACTCTTCATCCTTCTCTTTTTCCTTATTCTTCTGTCTTCTTTTTCTTCTTTGTTTTCTTCTTCTTCTTTTACTACTAATACTTCTTCCTTCTTCTCCTCTCTGCCTTTTCATCCTTATTTCTTCGTCTTCTTCTTCTTCTCTGTGATTCCCTCGTATTATTTAAATCCTTACACCCTTTTTAGATTCTTTGCCGTTGCCATCTGTCATGTCCAAACATTCACTTCGTCTTATTTCCGGCGATCCTGAGAAGAAAATGCTTCAGAAATCAAGACACGGGGTCTCTATAAGTAAATTATAAGGACTTGAAGACAGAATATCAGTGAACATCTGTCTTGGTCTCAGATTGACGGCACCAGGAAGGGAGGAACGAGAAACAGGACGCGAGATTGATGAACGGGCGAACGAGGAAGTATGGACAGCCAAAGGCGACGAAGCTAGAGTGCTAATAAGGCTACATGAACTCCCCACATGTATTCACTTCTCTGATAGAATTTCACTTATTTCAATGAGGCAATCAAGAGAGAGAAGAACAAAAAAGTGATAGATAGAAAGATAGATAGATAGATAGATAGATAGATGATGCATACATACAGACATACATGCATACATACATACAGACTTAGAGAGATAGAGAGATATTAACAGACATATATATATATATATATATATATAGATAGATAGATAGATAGATAGATAGATAGATAGATAGATACTAACAGACTTAGATAGATACTAAAAAACTTAGAAAGATAGATAGATACTAATAGACTTAGATAGATAGATACTAATTGACTTAAATAGAAAGATAGATAGATATTAACAGACAGACATATATATATATAGAGAGAGAGAGAGAGATAGATAAATAGATACATACATACATACATGCATACATACATACAGACTTAGATAGATATTAATAGACATATAAATATATATATATAGATAGATAGATACTAATAGACTTAGATAGATTGAAACTAATTGACTTAAATAGATAGATAGATAACAGACACACACACACATATATATATATATATATATATATATATATACATAGATACATACATATATACATACAGACAGACATGCATACATGCATGCATACAGAGATTGATAGATACATATTAACAGACATATATATATATATATATATATAGATAGATAGATAGATAGATAGATAGATAGATAGATATTGACAGACATAGATAGATAGATAGATAGATAGATAGATAGATAGATAGATAGATAGATAGACAGAAATTATCTGATTGTAATGGTAAGAAATCACTCTCTATAATGAGAAAGAGAGATGACGAGAGAAAGGTTGTTTGAAATAACCGCGTCCCGATTGAGATAAAGAGAAAGATATATATATATCAATGTAAAGCCCTCTCATTTGCATCTGTAAATGATTTACTTCTGACAGCTGCAGCTCTTAACTGAAAATAAACCTTTTGACCCCTTTGTCGTGTAAACTTGAACATTAATTATTTCTCTCGATAAACCTTCTTAAATCATTATTAACGTGTGGTAATCACGTTTTAGATAAGACCTGAAGTATTTATTAGCAAACAAATCTTAGTAAAGTTTATCCTTCTTATCCACCCCTCCCCGCAAAAAAACGGTATGACAAATTGACGGTGTTTCACTTGGCACCTTTGTTATTGCACACTTACACGACTCCCTCGGCCAAGATTATTTTATTATCCTTGAAAGCAAGAATTTTTACTGACTAGATTAATTTTATATTTGCAAGATTATATTAATATGGGAGGGCACTATAATTCAATATTTATATTTTACCATTTTTAAGATTTATTTCAGATTCCTTATTTAAAATTCATAATAAAATGTCTATGAAAAACAGTGGCTAATGGCCAATGAAATTGAATATTTATTTTTAAATTTAAATCTAGTGACGACTCTTACGACAGTTGGTCCTGTTAAGTATTTCAAATGTGAAACTTGAAAGTAAGAATTAGAGTTTTCTCGCCCATAAATAACGTAAATATGAGATGTGATATGTTCATTAGAGCTAAAAAAAAACATGAATGGCGACAGGCTGTTTCATGCTAGACGCAATCGTCAGGCCGCGTCTAATACGAAACAGCCAGTCGCTTTTGAGTGTTCACATCAATTTCACTTTTATATTTACATGCGCTCTAATTCTGATATTAAGTACTTTTATCTTATAAATATAGCACAGCTTAAAAAATATATATATATATATATATATATATATATATATATATATATATATATATATATATATATATATATATATATATATATATTATAAATTAACTGATTTAAAATATTGTTTTTTCGCTATACAGTAATAGCCATGTTTCAAAAATGGAAGCTAAAAGCTTCGAATTTAATTTTGTAATTAAATTAAAAACATTAGTTCCATGTCATCCTCATGCGATTTTTGGAGTAACTTATTTTAAAAATTTACTGAATTTTAAAGGCACAGAAAAATTCATAATTCACTGTTTCCAAGGATACAGAGAAATCCAGTCATGCAGGCAATGGGTGATAGCGGGTTCATTTTTTATTAACTATTGTTCTATCAGTTATTAGTTACTACAGAGCATTAAAATTATAAATTTACATTGAGCACTATTTTGTAAATATAAAAAAATATCAATAAGAACACCGTATTATATATCTTACTGTTCTTTCTTCATAAATATATATATATATATATATATATATATATATATATATGTGTGTGTGTGTGTGTGTGTGTGTGTGTGTGTGTGTGTGTGTGTGTGTGTGTGTGTGTTAAGCAATAGTATAGCAGATTATTATTTTTTAGGGGAAGTTTATCTCTGCTCGGTCTTCCTGAGGTTGATCTTAGGGATCAGATAGAAGATAAAACAAGGAAGCTGATTTTGATTGGCTGATCGAACGTGCAAACGACAGATAGAAAAAGGGTTTTAAGAGAGTCGAGTTTTAACCGTCAGACACTGTAGACGTGGTTTGTTTCGTGTTTGAAACGGCTACCCACTTGAAGGAGAGCGATCCCAATGGATAATCAGAAGATATATACGTCGACGTTAATAAAGTAATTAAGTTATAATTCCCTGTGTTGAAGTTCTTTTATCTCTGGACCCCAAATCTTTTCGCTTGGCTCTTTTGATTGAAAATCTGGTTCTCTGTTGTCGGAGATTTTCTTCTTGCGAGGCATACTGCTGCCGCATGCGATAGGCAACAATAAATTACAAAAGAAATCAAAATTGTTAGCTGCATTTAAGTATTGCATTAATACTTCAATTTACCTCTTAAAAGTTTAACGATAATCCTTCTGCCGCCACTTAATTTAAAGACAATCTGATGTACGTAGGTCTTTACTTTCTGTACAAACAATTATTTTTAATTCATGGGTGACATTCGCTGGATTTCGCAATTAATTTCAGTTATTCCAAAATTTATTTTCAAGATATAAAAATTCTTATCGTACAAAAATATTCGTCACAAAAAAATCACGTAAAAATGACTTCGAAAACAATGGCAGTAATGAAAACGTAGGAATCCAAAATTTCAGGTTTGCGGATCCGGATCCAGCCAGGAATGTTCTTAATTTGCTCACGGAGACGGTCTGATTCCAAAATGGTATATGCTGAAAAAGTGTGACACACTGGCCTTGGTATCTTTTTTTTTTTTTGTTATAAATATGATACTTTTTTAATCGACATTGAATTTTTTGACGCAGAAGTTCAGAAAATATATGCTGATTATTCATAAAATATATATTCCTTCAAACTTCTAGTTAAATGGCAAATGCCACATGAATTATATATTTTGTAGACATGACCCAATGAGTTAATTATTGTACTTCTTTCGACTAACAATATTAACGGCGATTCATTCATCACTGGCTGATGATGTTACAAATCCACAAATTACGACCATTCTCATGTGGCATAATAAAGAGTGGATAGATAGATAGGAACAGACTTAAGTAGATATATATATATATATATATATATATATATATATATATATATAGATAGATAGATAGATAGATAGATAGATAAGAATAGACTTAGATAGATAGATAGATAGATAGATAGATTGGAACAGACTTAAGTAGATAGATAGATAGATAGATAGATAGATAGATAGATAGATAGATAGATAGATAATAATAGACTTAGATAGATAGATAGATAGATAGATAGATAGGAACAGACTTAAGTAGATAGATAGATAGATAGATAGATAGATAGATAGATAGATAATAGACTTAGATAGATAGATAGATAGATAGATAGGAACAGACTTAAGTAGATAGATAGATAGATAGATAGATAGATAGATAGATAGATAGATAGATAGATAGTAAAGAATAGACTTAGATAGTAAAGGATAGATAGATAGATAGATAGATAGATAGAAAGATAGATAAGGCGACTGAATTTATAGCCCCAGAAGCGTATTTTTGCCAGTCATGTTGACTCTTTCCAAAGAGCTACACGAGGTAGGTAGTTACAAAGTCAGGCGTAAATGGCACGTTTTGTGATGATATGTGAGGAAGATGACGGTTAACACTTAACTTAAGCAGGTTAACATTGTAGTGGTCGAGAAGGAAAGTAGCGGTTAGTGGAATGTAGCTCTTCATGGGGAAGTACGTCACAACAATGGAATAACAGGGGGGGGCGAGTGTGCTTCACTACAATCTGCTTTGTATGGCGAATATTAGATTATAGATGATCAGGAAAGTATCCACTTGGGAGTCGGTTCCACAAAAGATAATTTTGTGGAAAAAAGCTGCTTTACTTACGTTTCACCAAATACTAAGCTAATGGCGTTAGTTCTTTACAAGTTGCGTAGAATGACTGGTTCTCTGAAGCCGTTTAGGTTGGAACTGGTGGAGCTAAAGAATGTAGATAGTCTGAACGCTCTCCATGGAGATAGTGACAGAGTGTAACGAATTGAACGGAGGGAGACAAATATCATGAATATTACACTGGAGCAGATTAGGGGAAGAAAATGATAAGCAGAATGAAATGATTTTTCTTTTTAAACACTTCACCCCAATCAAGGCGGGAGTCCCACTAGCAAGCAAGGTTGTTATAGACCGTGGGAGCGAGAGTAAAGAGGCGTAATAGAGGAAAGGATGAAGAGAAAAAGAGGGAATAGATCAAGGCATATGAAAATGTCGATTGACATTATATTAGAATAGTTGGAGATTGTAGCTATCAGGGAAACCAGCAATAGGAAGGAAATTTTATAGACAAGAGGTGCGAGACATGAAGCTATTGGAGTAGTATAGACGTCTACATTTAACCTTTTTGACAGTAAAAGGTTGGGGCCGTGTGGCCAGCGTAGTAGCACGTTTAAATTCATGCAGTCTGGGAACTAGCGAAATCAGTTCGTCGGAGCAGTAACCGGGAAATTATTTGTAGAAGAGACAGAGGGAGGTGACGGCACGTCTGTGAGAGAGCGACTATAGACGAGATGTCATATTAGGAACAATGGAGATTAACTTATCAAGGTCATCATTTGATGAGAGTCAACGGTAGATAAAGCTCATCTTAGAATTAGTTTGAAAATCTAACTTCAAACCATTTCTTTTCAAATCTCCGCTTTCCAATGGGTTCGAAAACAAATCACTTGCATCACTGAAAATACCATCTTCCTCGTCAACCATAGGAGACACAGATCTATTTTATTTGAATAAATTTTATATTTATCTCTGACAGACAGGAATAGACGTGAAATGTTATCTTGTATCACCACGATAAGTTATGCATATGACACAGTGTTGATAGCACATAGGGAAATGATACTACAAGAATTCCTCCAGAAGTTAATGAAGGAAAGCGAGAAGAATGAACTAAATATCAACTGTAAGAAGACGGAATGCATGGTTGTTAGCAAAAGGAATAGCCCAATATTCAAATTACAAATTGGATATGCCAAAATCACGGAAGTACAACAATCTAAATGTCTGGAAAGTGTTTTAAATAGACGATGGGAAATTCTACACTGAAATCCTAAGACGTATTGAGATAGCCAACAAATGCATTCAATCAACCTAAGCAAAGTCTTATGAAGGCTAAAAATTTCGTTAGAAACAAAGAAAATGTTGCTCTACAGGAGGATGCTGAAAATACTATAGACCGAACATGTTAACCACAACAAAGTCTAAGTGAAAATCGCGACAAAAAGGCAACTTTCTATCAGGAAGAGACAGTTGAAATTTCTATGGCACATAATGAGGAAAGAGGGCTTGTAAAATCTGATACTCACATGACAGATTGCAGTAACTTACATTATTTACATTATTTGGACTATCACCTCATCTTCATTACTGTATTTACAACGTTTCTGTCATTTTACGCACCGGCCTTCTTCGTGTGATTGGAATTTCGAACCAAACTCTTTATTTAGTCCACCGGGGTAGATTGTACTCAAAGAAACATGGCCCAGTGGACAAAGTCGTTGGTTAGATCCAGTGACTAGACCCAAAAAGTTGTGAGTTCAACACCAGGCCACAGCAGTGGTAAACCAAAAACTTGGAAAAGTTGAGTTAAAGAGAAATTCTTGAGACATCCGGAAGAGGCATGGCACGTGGAACTAGAATAATCTAACCCGGCGGACGATAAGGGACAAAAGGTTCCATTCGAAATTCCAATCACCTGAAGAAAGCCGGAGCATACAACGGTCGAAACGTTGTGAATATGGCAATGAAGTAGAGGATAACAATCCGAATAATCATGATGTGCAGGTAGGGGGCACTAAAATCAATGGAGGGCGGTAGTTGCGACGCTGACATCCGAAGACGGATAGGGATGGCCAAGGATGTACTCCAGAAGATGGTGACAAAGAAAAGAGTACTGAGCTACTACGTGACATCTGTCCTCCTATACGGCAGCGAATGTTGAATGGTATCCTCAAGGATGAAGAAGAGACTCGAGGCGGCGGAGATGTGGTTCTACAGAAGGATGCTGAGGATATCATGGAGCGAGCGTGTCAGCGACAATGAGGTCTTGGAGAGGATGTAAACAAGGAGGAAGTTGAGGCTTAACATAAGGAAGAGGCAGATGAAATTTCTGGGACACGTGATGAGAAAGTAAGGCCTGGAGAATCTGATACTCACAGGATAAATAGAGAAGAAAAACATAGAGGAAAGTAACGCATGACTGACGTGGCGAGCTTGGGCATGTGGATGGCGGGGCGTGGTCTTTGGGAGTTGGCAGAAATACAAAACCTGTTGAGAGCCACAAAGGATGGGAGGGGGAAGTGAAGGGCCATGATCGTATACGTCCTGAAAGGACACGGCATATAAAAAGAAAGAATCATAATACCTCATCTCAGAGATATAGACAGGCATGAAGAACAAATGAAAACAACAGATGAACATATTTAATGACCCAGAGGAAATGGCGGAACAAGTTTTGGGAGAATTAGACAAAAGACAAAATTTATTAAAAGCAACTATGTACAGGAAATTGTGGAGAGACATGATCGTCAACACCCTGAGGGGATGCAGCATATAGAAATACCACGACATATTGCTATGACATGTATCAAAGCCTGATAGTCACTGGCATCGAAACCATTGAGGTCAGTGCGTGTTCTGAATTCTTGAAATTTGCTGGTTGAAGTATGTGATCGCTAATAAAATAATACAGAAACTCCTTGGAAATGTTTTTAAACCTTGGAATACGGAGATACTTTTTTTAAAAAATCTCGTAGACGATCATGTATCTTTCGATACATGACTGACGAGGCAGTTTTTTTTTTCCCTCGGTAGCTGCTATTTCTTTCTGCGGTAGATCAGTTGCCATCCAAGGCTATAATACCCGGTTTGTCCTGCTTTTTACCCATAGCTGCGGGGTGAAGAAGAGGATTCATACCTTTCCGAAGAGTATTTGCACGTAAGTGAATGTAATGGATTCGACTAGAATTCGAACTCGGCTGTCCGATTCCGCAATCCGAGCTGCTATCCATTACTCCACCGTAGCCGAAGAAGAATTGTACTATCTATACTGTGATCAAAATTTCAACACAAATCTAATCAAGATGAATACGATAAATATTAAAAAAAAAATACTTTTTTTTATTCCCCCCACCAAAAAAAATAGTGCATCTTCTATATAAATAAAGTGATGTGTATGTGTGTCCATCCACCTATCAGTTTTTCGATCTCAGCTTATCAAGAACAACCTAAAGTAACATGTAGTAACTACTGTTGTTACAAGTGAGTCAAAATTAAGTAAATAATTCATTTAAAGTTAAATATTTAAATATCGAAAAGAGTGAAAGGTTTAAAAAAAGCTTCTTTATGAAAGTTTTCACTTTAATTTCGCTTTTCAATGCAATTGCAATTGATATCATCTAATTAAACCGAAATTAAAACTTAATCAGAACACGGTACGTTGTTCATATGTTTTTTTTTTGTTTTTTTTTTCTTCTAGCAAGCGTACTGTGACGTATTCGAAATATTACATAGTTTGGGTTCCTTAATGTCTTTTAAGAGAAGAGGTCATAAAGAATGTTGGTTTTAAAAGAAAATAAAACTTGCGTACAAAATAGATTTAAACAAACTAGAGATAAATGTTAGCAAACAACGGTTGCGTATACGAAGAAAGTTTATGCCGGACTAAGGTGTCGAATAAAGATAAAATAATTATATTATTTCTAAATTCTTATAACTATTACGTATATTGGATGGTGAAGTTAAAGGACCGAAGGCCGAAAAGCTCTCCACGGGAGCTAACTTAAACTCTGCTCGGAGGGCGGCTTCTAGGCTAATTATTAACAATTTAACAGCCAGGGAAGCTCACATTGAAACCCCGGTTTCCGTACGATCACCGAAATTAAGCAACGTCGAGTCTTGTCAGTACCTAGATGATTGACCATTTGTGAATATCAGGTGTTGTGAGCTTAGATGTGTGGACGGTTTAACAAATCCACTTCTTCTCCCCCAGCTATGGGTTAATTATTATGACCTGTATCGTTAAATCATTATTATTTCCAAAAGAAAATGTCTCAGAATCTAAAAAATTATCTAATGCTTTTAAATAACCTTCAAAGGGTTGATAACCTGTAAAAAATGAATGAATCAATCAATAAAACCAACCGAAGAAAATCCTTGCGGTTAAATCCAGCAAAAGGATTAAGAAAACCAATTAAATTTATGTCTATAAGTATTTAGTAATAAAAATAGTATATATTTTTTTTCAAAATTCGAGATCAATTAACAAACTTATTATTAGTAATTTAATAGACGATGAAGAATACATCTTATAAAATACTTGTGATTAATGCAGAAAGATTTTTTTAATAGTCAAAACAATAAGATATTTGAAGTAATGAAAATATATTATTTGCTGACGCCAATTTAAATATTTAAAAACATTGCAAATATTACTCTTCGTCAAATATACTGGTATTATGAATAGGAGGTTTTGTGCAAAAACTGTAATGGAATAATTATATACAGTGTAACCCGGATGTAAGAGAGTTGTCGGGACCGGAGAAGAAGTCTCTTATATCCGGATTTCTCTTATATCCGGGTTTGGTCTATTTTATATAAATTAACACAGGCTCTAATTTGGGACCACAGAAAATCTCTCTTATATCCGGGTTTTTCTTATATCCGGGTCTCTTATATCCGGGTTACACTGTATATTTGATTGAGTTCAGATAGTAGCTGTCCTTCAGAAACCCTTGTCAACCGTAGACAGACAAATACTCCAGGTCATCTTCGAATTTCTAAACAGATATATTATTACTAATTTAAACAGCCGGGGAAGAATAGATTGTCTAAAATCGCTGTGGTAGAAATTCAGAAAAAGGAGAAAAAAGAAGAAAAAATACACTATTTACATTATTTGGACTATTGTCCTCATCTTTGTTGTCATATTTATCACAACGTTTTGGCCGTTTTACGCTCCGACCTTCTTCAGGTGTTTGGAATGTCGAATTGATCCCTTCATTTTGCTCGCTGGGGTAGACTTTCTAGTTCCATGTGCCATGTGTAATAGATGCCAGTTATCAGTTATCTCATGTTAATTCCCCTCTCCATGTTCTCCACTGCCTTAACCAGGTATTGAACGCACAACTCTTTGGGTCCTGTCACTGGATCTAAACTACATCTTTATCCACTGTGTCATGTGTCCTTAAGGACATTCCAACCAGCTGAAGAAGGCTGGATCGTACAATAGCTGAAACGTTGTGATAAATATGGCAACAAAGATGAGGATAATACTCCGAAAAATGTAAATAGTGTACATAATACCTCATCTCAGAAATATAGACAGATACAGAAAAAAATATATTGAATAATGGTATAATTTCTCTTTTTTAAGAAATGAGGATTTTTACTAAGCTCCTTATCTCTTATATTTTGGAAAAGAATAAAAATCAGTGATACTTATGCTGGACTTTTCTTTGAGCGGTCAGTCTGGCAAGTTGTCTAAACAACGATGCGACCGCTTCATTTCAATGTTAAAAATACTTTGATGTTAGATATTGTGTTTGCTGCGAGTCAATGTATTGTCCGTGGCTATTTTCGGCGCCGAATAACGATACAAACGATAAATGACTGACAATGGCTAAGCATGGTGCCAATATTGATTATGCAAAGAAATGAAGATTTTGTAGAAGATAATATTCTCTAAGGGAGAAGCAGACAAAGAAGAAGAAGAAGAAGAAGAAGAAGAAGAAGAAGAAGAAGAAGAAGAAAGGTGACACACTGATTAGTGGAAAAAGAAAGAATGGGTTTGGATAAAAAGAAGGAAAGAGAATGTAAAAGATACAGGAGAGGGGGGGAAGAAGAAGAAAGGAAAATGAAAGAAAGAACAAGAAAAACAATATATAGAGAAAGAAAGGAATGGAGAAGAATGCAAAAAGAATGAAAAGAAGGAGATAAATATTGAAAGAATGAAGCCAATAAAATATAAACGGAAAGGAAAATGGCTATGAAGAAAAAGAAATAAAGAAGAAAATGAAGATTAAAAAGAAAGAAACTTAAAATGCAAAATAAGAAAGGAATAAGAATGGAAAAGGAACAAAGATAAAAATTAAAGAAAAGAAAGAAAATCATGACAAAAGAAAAAATTCAAGGAAGAATGAAGTGAAGAAAAAGAAGAAGAAGAAGAGAAAATGTAAGTAAAGAAAAAAAAGAAAGGAAATATATTAAAAAGAAAATACGATCAAGATAAAGTGACAGAAAATAAGAAAGATCAATATGGAGGCGAATGAAGGTCTGTGAAGGAAAAAAAGGTTTTTGCTAAACTTAAGAAAGTAGAGCAAATATAAAAACCGAAGTCAAGAAGGAAATGATAAAAGGAAAGGAAAGTAAAAAAAGAAGATGAAGTTGCAAGAAGGAAAAGCAATGATATAAAAGAAAATGAAGGAAAAAAGAAAGAAAAGGAGAAACGGAAGAAAAGAAAAAATGAAGGAAATAAAATAATGTTGGTTGTCTAAAATAGGAAGCGAATATGACGCACAGAATAAGAAAGGAAGGAGAGACAATAAAGAAAAAATATCAGGAAGGGCCAAAGAAAAAACATAAAAGAAAGAAAGAAAGAAAGAAAGAAAGAAAGAAAGAAAGAAAGAAAGAAAAAAGAAAGAAAAGAAGACTGACAGAAATAAATAAAGAAAGAAAGAAAGAAAGACAGGAAGAAAGAAAGAAAGAAACGAAAATAAAAAGACTGACAGAAATAAATAAATAAAGAAAGAAAGACAGGAAGAAAGAAAGAAAGAAAGAAAGAAACGAAAAAAAAAACAAAAGACGAACAGAGACAAAATAGATCTAATGAAAGAAAGAAATTGATGAAAAAAAGAAGGAAATGAACCAAAGAAAGAAAGAAAAAAGAAAGAAGGAATGATAGAAAAGACAAAAATATAAAAGAAAGAAAGAAAGAAAGAAAGAAAGAAAGAAAGAAAGAAAGAAAGAAAAAAGTGAGGTAAAAAGAAAGGAAGAAAATTGGCCAAAAGGAAAGACAGAAAGGACAAAATATAAAAAAAAAGAAGGAAAGAAAGAAAGTAGAACGAAATCAAAATAAAGAAAAAAAATAAAGAATGGAGTAAAAAAAAGAAAAAATGTGAAGTAAAAAGACAGAAAGAAAAAAATAGAGTAAAATAAAGAAAAAAGAAGGAAAGAAAGTAGAAATAGACTAAAAGAAAGAATGAAAAATATCCAAAGAGAGAATGACGCATATGTAAAAGTGAAAATGGTTCAAAAAAGAAAGAAGAATATAAAAAAAAGAAATAACGAAAGAAAGGACAAAAATATAAAAGAAAGCAAAAAAGAAAAAATGAAAGAAATGAATCTCCTCGCTTAATGGAGAAATACAGTGGCCACTCTTGCATATGCATCGGTAGTCTTCTGCAATCGATTCTCGACCATCTGCAAAATTGAGCTGACCAGATGCAGTTCTGATTGGCCACTTTAGATGCAAGTCACAACCGCTGGCATTGTTTAACATAAGAACAAGACTTCTTAACATTCCTGACACTATTGGCTTTCTTCTTCTTCTTCTTCTTCTTCTTATTATTATTATTATTATTATTATTATTATTATTATTATTATTATTATTATTATTCTACTTGTTCTTGCTGCTGCTGTTATTTGTAGTCATTGAATTTTTACATCAGTAATATCAGGTGTCTTTTTCTGGAGACGTAAAACCAAGTCTGCTCAATACTGCAATATTCTGCTCAGCAATCTGCCTGATCTTAGTTAACGCCGCCATCTTAGAGAATTTCTTATACTTTCGGACTGTTCTAAGTACGCCAGTCATGTTCTACCGCTTTCATGTCCCCTTTTTATTTACTTCTTTTGGCAAGGTCCAGATATTTTTCAGCTTTTTCAATTGCATTCAATATTACTCTATAGCACGACAACATGTTTTCTTGTCTTTGTTTACGATGACTTTGATTTGAGGATGACTGAAGCTGATTTTCTCATTTGGACTATATGACCCGTTCACATTAAAAAAAAAACACATCTAGTTTTCCCTATTTCATTTTTCTATGACAATTGTTTGCATCTACCATTATTTTTTATTACTTACTAATCGTTTACACAGATTTTGTTAATCTTTGTAAGCTCCACACAAAGAATTCGACATTAAATAACCAGGTAATTGTTGATATTTAAATAAACCAACTTGACGTAGTTTTAAAATTCTCAGTGACATTCCCCCCTCCAACCTACTCAATGCTACACTTTGTTCAATCCGTGATGTCATTCAAGCAGCAAACGCAAACTTACAGCAAAAATCTTAATCTATTTTTTAATCGATTTTCCCGCAGCAAGGCAATAAAGACACTAAGACGCAAAGGGTTACTGGGCGTTGAAGAATTACTAAACAGAAACATTACTAAGGGGCGGGAACAAATGAAGGATTATCAGGAGGACAGCATATAGCGATTGACATTGCATTTAAATTTTTGGAGATCAAAGTTGGCTGGAAAGCATGGAGTCTGAAGAGAATTCCACAAACGATAAAAAGGCTGTTAGCATAGAACATATGGTTACATCTAGCCAACTCAACTGTAAATTGGTGAGACCTCGTCGCTAGTCTAATACCTCGCTTAAATTGACAAAGTTTAGGTACAATAGCGTACAGCTCATCTGAACAATTACCATGAAAGTATTCATAGAAAAGGCACAGCGAATCAACTTTACGGTGTGGGAAAGTCAGACGCCGGATAAAGACCATTAACATTGCTGATTCTTCTTTGAATTTTATTAAGGATCTCAAGATAATGTGTTACCAATATTCTAAGCATGGACGAATGGTAGACTTATAGATATTCATGAAAGATTCTAGAGAGTAAGATTGTCTGGAGGAAAATATTTTTTGTTTTTTGGTTGCGTTTTGAAGAATTTTTTTTTTTTATCTCGAATTTCTGTTACCTAAAAACAAGCTGTTTTTGAGAAACCATTATTCATTGGCTCATTTGAATGACGCATTTTTTGGCCAACGGGTTTTACCGGAGATTTGGCTGCATGAAAACACTCATACTGAAGTTGAATATGACCTTTCATCAAAAGGTCATCAAACACATACGGAAATTTCTTCTAGTGAGATTGCGTTAGTGAAAAAAGTTTTTTTCCTGTTTTATTACATAAAACCAAAAGCCTTTTAAAAATACGTGTTAATTAGCTTTATTCAACAACATATTTGCTTTTTTTTTCTTCTATTTTCTGATGTCTTTTAGACGACTTCATAATCCCATTTTCCCATATCATTTTTTTTAAATCTGTCTCTAATATCTTTTTACAATCTTCCAGAAAAATAAAAAAGAACAGATTTTAATTAAATGATTTATGTAAACATCAAAACAAATGATATTCCACAATTATAATACCTGCTGAATAAAATGTACAAATCAACACTTCCGGGATAAGGAGTAACCATTTTTTACCAGGATTCCAGAATATAGACTTTTGCTCTATCCTGATAGAATATCAAGTTATTTCTGAAAATTAATTTCTGAGATTTTTTGTTCATTTTCTCCTAGTTCATGTAACTGAGAAAAGTAGTAGTTCGAATAAAACGATTTGTTCTCTGGAGTAAGCTAAAAGTAGTGGTCTGATTTCTAACCTCAAGAAAATAAGCAATTTTATGAACTATGCCCAAATAGGCCGTTTTTAATGCGGGGTAAATCCGACCCCGTAGGCTCTGGAAAACATTTCCGGTAGAGCCCGTATACATGAGTTCGGGTAGCTGTTTACCACCCCAGACGAGACTCTGCCCTTGAAAAAGCCTCGTCTTGAGTCCTTTCCGCCCCAAGTCAGAGAGATCGACCAGCATAACTGGAAACGAATCTCCATCTAATTACCGAAGCAAGGTTATTTACCTTACCTCCATGCGAGGCATGATATGGAACAAGAACTCGTAAAAAACGAGGTCGCGTAGCTGTCTACCACCCCAGACGAAGGGGAAAAAGAGAAACAGTAGGCTCGGGCAAAAATTCCCCGTAGACACCGTGTACACGGAGTCGGATAGCTGTTTACCACCCAAGACGAGGCTGTGCCGAAGGGCATAGCCTCGTCTGGGTCAATCTCCTCCCGGAGGCAGAGAGTTCGACTAGTACAGCTGGAGACGAATCTCCAACTAATTGCCGAAGCAAGGATATTTGCCAACCACCCCACGCGTTCAGATGTGGCACAAGGCCGAATTTAGCGTGGGGTAACCGAGCCCGTAGGCTCGGGCAAAAATTCTCCGTAAACCCCGTAACAAACGGGGTCGCGTAGCTGTTTACGACCCCAGACGAGACTCTGCGTTTCGGCAAAGCCTCGTCTGGTTTCATCTCCACTTGATGGCAGAGAATTTGACTAGCTTAGCTAGAGACGAATCTCCATGTAATTGCCGAAGCAAGGTTATTTACCTCAACTCCCCGCAAGGCAGGATGTGGCACAAGGCCGTTTTTAATGCGGGGTTAAAATCGAGCCCGTGGGCTCGGGCAAACATTTCCCGTAGACCCCGTAAAAACTGCATCGGGTAGCTGTCTACCATCCCAGACGAGACTCTGCGCTTCGGCATAGCCTCGACTGGATTCCTCTCCACCCGAAGGCAGATAGTTCGACGAGCAAAGCTGGAGACGACTCTCCAACTAATTGCCGAAGCAAGTCACCATGTCTATCCTGTACTCACTATATATAGCTACTGATATAGTGACTCTACTTAGGCGATAGGGAGTGTGGGACATTCCATTACAACCCCTCAAATTTTCCTCAATACCTCTTATTTTGGGGGTTAGGACATAATTGTCTTTTTTTCCCTCATCCTAAGACTTTTCCGTCTCACCAGCACAAAACCTTCGAAAACATGCAAGTAGAAAAACACCGTCTTTTGTTCCTTCTTCCAGTGTTATATGCATGCAAATTCTGTGGGTAATGACATAAATTCATGATTCATTGAAAATATTAACTTCATTAATGCTAGAGTTTCCATCTTGTCATTTACTGTTGAATTTTGGATGCCTGTATCGAAAGAAGAAAAGTTTAAATAATAAGTTGATAATATGCGCTGATCTGTAATAAGATTATACCCGCGGCTTAAGGTTTAATCACATTGATGAAGTCCTTTGCATATATAATCTAAATACACCCGGTTTGTTATCCATAAATCCTACAGATTCTCGTCTGTATACGCAATATGTTTTTTTTTTATTCATCGCCACTAGGTCTATCCTTATTTGCCATATCTCAGATTATAAAATGTTGTACAATTTTTACTCTGGAACAATTACTAGCACGAACAGAATTTTCACCAATCACGAAGAACGAAAAACAGGAAGCTCCGTGCTTTGAGAGCCTCTTGGGCCTTAAACTCAAACAAGACCTCAAGTGGAAATTATACACTTGATCCCTCGCTTATAATGCTGGTAAAATAGTCGTTACCATGTACAGCTCCAGTAAGTACCAGACACTACCTACTTTACAGCCATATGTGCACAAGAGTCTCCGATCCCCAGTCTTGATAGTGTCCAAAAGCATTTGCGCGTCATTGTGGGTGACTATGTATTTTTTCGGCTACAATCCCTTTCTCACACAAAATATTGCAAAGCTCTCGCTGCTCTATAACTATTTCCATGGAAAATGTTCAGACGAGCTACATACCACCAGTTCTAACCTTGAAGCCTAAAGCCGATCGTTCTATACACATTATAGCGGACCACCCTAATCTCCCTTCCTATTAAATTTGTGAGATATAAGTTCCACTCGAGCAGATTTTTCCCATAAACAGCTGCTCCGTGAAACCGACTTCCAAGAAGATACTTCTCGGATCAATACAATCTTAATTTATTCTAGGGTCAACCGTTATCTTCCCAACATATCCCCATATACTGTGTCTCTTACTCTCTACCTCGAGTGATTCTTGGGCCTTGTTCAAGATGAACATCATAGTAAAAACATTTTGATTTAATAATTACGAGTATATATGTGTCAATATTACATTAGATTTTTTTCCCGTAAAGCAATATACTTTAATCACCGTGAAGGCATCATTTCTCACTGACGAGGCTTCGAGATATAAAGTAGCTATTATAGTCTCATTAAAAGTGATTCTCTTTTTGGAATTACACTCTATTTATTTGAATAATCGGAGAAAACAATAATATAATGATGGAAATTTAGCAAAAACGGAACAATCAAAAATATTTCAAATTAGATTTCGAGTAATTTACTCTCAAGGCTAAAAAGGTTTAAATATGATAGATAAACCTATAACCAACTGTTAATTGTATTAATCATGATCAGGGCTAAGATGTCGTATTTGTAAATAAAAATGTATCCATATCCAGCAATTTTTAAACCATAACAGTATTTGTTATAGACCTTTTTCGACGATGGCGACGGTCGGCAGCGGAAAATAAGAAAAACTCAGCGCCTCTCATGGTTGAAGGTATTTTTTGACATCGACCACAGTAGTAGAATACTGTGTAGTCATCTACCCATGAGGCATTTGC